TCTTAATTATTTAAAAGCTTACTGAATTTCACAAGTGCTACACTTTGTGTACTATGTATCCTTGTGAGAATATTAACTGTAGGAAAACTATTAAAAATAACATTTTATCAGTTAAAAACTTACCATTCATTTAGAATGATAACTAAATTTAGGATATTTTACATTTGTTCATCTTGGCCCTGTGTATTACTATAATTGTCCAATTTAGATGTATCTGTTCAGTTATCGGAACATTTTTAGGTTAGCAATAAAGCTAATAATGCAAAAAAACCAAACATTTTTGAGTTTGTGCAACTGTTTACAAAGTGTTTAGGCTATGTTCTTTATTTTGTTAAAACCTTTTTTGAGACAGGATGTTGCTATACAGTTTAGGCTGGTCTTGAACTCACTATGTAGCCCAGGCTGGCCTCAAATTCAGGTTGTTCTTTCTGGCTCAGCCTCCTGGAATTACAGGAGTGTGCTATACTATGCCTGGCTAAAACTTTTTACTTGAAGCAATGTTGGGAGTTTCATTTTCTGCTGTTTTCTACAACATCATCTCATCCCCTTTTTTGTTTTATGTGTGTAATTTTTGTTCTCCTTACTAATATTTGGCTTATAATAGATGTATGTGGTATAAATGAGACATCTTCATGATAATCACTGCAATAAAAACATTATTTTTTGACATAACAAAAATAGCATTGATATTATAGATTAATTTATGGATAAGAGGTCTTCCTAGATTGGTGAAGAAATTTTTATGTAATTTCTGGAGTGTCATAAATAACCATATAGAAAGTGTAAAAATGACTATAAAATTACTAACAATGCAATTCTGAGAATTGGTTAGTCAAACATTATCACTAGTATGAATATAGAGTGCTTATTCATGAGTAAATTTAAAACTTACAATGATCTATAGCTAACACTTGAAATAATAGATATATATATTAAAATACCTACTATTTTCAAGGTATTAATAGTATTTACAATAGGGCTTTTCGTTGTTAAGAAAATCCATTCAATTTGTTAACAGTTTTATGTTTTTACTAAGAATACATAATGTGTTTTTTACTCAATATGTAATTTAAAAAATATTTTTAACTTTTCTGAAGATAAAAAGCAGTAGCTATTGTAGAAAATACACAAAATACTGGTAGACACATACAAAGAATCAGAAACAGAATGACTCCAAATCATCCAGTGTCCATCCCCCTAGCACTCCTGTGAATGAAGTCCTTGGGCATTTTCCAGTGCCCCAAAGGGTTGTTTGTATTCTTTAAGTGGCTTTGCCTGTTCAGTGTAGTTAATTACTTTCATCCACTCAAGCAAAAATTTCTTTAGACAGTTATTTCTTCAAGTTTTGTGCATTTAATTTTGTTTTATGAAGCAAGTTCTCTAGTTTTCTGATCATCCAATTTTTTGTTGTCTTATTCAAAGGCTTGGCCTATATTATTAGCTTCAGATTTAGCTGGGCACTTGGCACATAACCTGCAGTAACATCCACTGGGCAGGCTGAGACAGGAGGATTTCTTGAGCCTAGGAGTTTGAGGTCAGCTTGGGCAAGGTAGTGAGACCCTGTTTGGAGTCCGTTTAAATCAATATGTTTAACAGAATACAGATGTTAGGCAATCTCAAGAAATGCTAGGTTTTTTCACATATAATTTATATTAAGAGTCATGGAATATTAGAGTTAGAAAAAAACTTAGAAAGGGTGAGTGCTTTAAAGTCTTCTGAACCAGCCGTGAGTCCTGCTGATCATTGTTATAGCAGTTTTGTTTACAGGGCTGTTAAAAATTGGATATCCTGGCTTAAACAATACCTATGGGTGTATTTTATTTAAATGTAATGACATTGACTTTTCTCAAATTATCATTTGGAATCATTTGAACTAGAGTAATGTGTTCTAGCATTTTTGTGTTTAGACATTCCCCTCACCTTTTTTTTTTTTGGTACTGGGGATCAAAGTCAGGACCTTGGGCTTGCGAGGCAGGTGCCAGAACCACTGAGCTAAATCCCCAGTCCTCCCCTCACCTTTCTTTTTTTTTTGGTACCAGGGATCGAACTCGGGTCCTTGCACTTGCACAGCAGGCAGTGAAACCACTGAGCTAAATCCCCGGCCCTCTTAAGTGTTCTTACTCTCTTCTTTAGGATATGGTCTACCAGATGATATCGTAATAGAAAAGAGGGGTAAAGGAGACACTTTTGTGGATTGCACAGGTGTGGATATTAAAATTTCAAGCATAAAATTTGTTCAGCATGATGCAGTAGAAGGAATCCTGAGTAAGTATCTGAATATTTAGTGTGTTATTTGATCTAGGTTTTGAAAGAAAACTACTTTCTGTGGAGGATAGAATTTAATGAAATACCAGTTGAGTATATAGAAGGCTAATTATTTATGCATATAGTCTAATGGTTTAGAGAGCCTGCCCCAAAGTGAGAAATTGTTTAGCATATACTTGAAACTTTGTTAGTTTAATATTGTTTTCTTTTTTGTGTGTGATTCATTTTTTAATTCTGATAGTGTGGTCTGTATTCTTTATTTAGTTTAATACTAGACTGAAACTAGTTACTTTCATGTTGTGCTGTGGTTTGGATATGGTTCATGTGCTGGACCCTTGGTCTCCAGGGTTATGGTGTTGAGTTGGTAGAACCTTTAATATGTGGGGCCTAGTGAGGGGTAAATAAGACACAGGCCTCCTCCCTCATGAATGGATTAATGCAGGTCTCACAGGATCAGTTCCCCTGAGAGTTGGTTGTTACAGTGAACCTGGCCTTTCCCTACTCTTCCTTATTACTACATGAGCCCTTTCTGTGTATAGCTGTTTTCCTGTATGCATCTCCATGTTGTGAGGCAGTCAAGGGTAGGCTGTTTGGATTTTCCCAGCTACTATCATCATGGGCCAAATAAACTCTGTGTGTGTGTGTTGTGTGTGTGTGTGTGTGTGTGTGTGTGTGTTACTTAGGATTAAATCCAGGGCCTTCATACTGAACTACTTGTTCATCCCTTATTTTATTTTTAATTTTGAGATAGAGTCTCACAGAGTAGCTAAATCCCCCAGGCTGGGCTTGAACTTGTAATCCTCCTGCCTCATCTTCCCAGAGTGCTGGGATTTTAGGCATGTGTCACCATGCCTGGCCACATGTCTTTTCTTTATCCATTATGCAGCATCAGGTATTTTGTTATGGCAATACCATACAGACTAAGACATATTATTGTAATATTTTTTTTCCTGGGATTTGTATTCCTTGTTTTTGAGAACCTTTTTTTTTTCTCCCTCTTAAAATACTTAGTAAAGTTACTCTTTTAAATATATAAATATATGTATTATATATACTATATA